GGGGGAAAGTCACCCACCACACCACCAGTAGTTGTCCAAGGTCATGTGAAGATTCAAAAGAACTTTTCAATAAACAAAAGTATTTAAAGCTTAATATATTTGAACAAAATAAATGTCAAAAATAAGGCCTTTTTGACTTCAGAGATGAAAAGGATACTCCAGAGCACTGGTGGGCTTCTCTGGTTCTTCATATAAGGCTACCAACACTGCAAACCAAAGAGAAAGAAAAGCAATGAAGTCTCAAGTGTAGATGGCTGAAATATTCTGAAACTCAGTAAATACTATCTGCCTGCTGTATGGCAAGCCGATTGCTAAGATTGCCTATACAGTGGTGAATAAGTCAGACAGTGTTCTTCCTTGCAACAAATTTACAGTCCACTGCAAAAGACAAGGAATGCAGAGAGTATTGAACTGCAATAGTGGTTACTGAGTTTCCGAGTGAGACTGGAGAAATACTTAGCATCAGAGGCAGACCTGAGAAGACCTAGCTGTGTTTCAGATAAAAATGGGAACTAATGTGTCAAGTATTTTTTGAGTAATAAACAGAAAAGTAGTCTAGGGTCAGAAAATGTAAAACTGAGAAAAGCTTAGTTAAACTAGAATCCTAAGGGCCACAAACATTTCAACAGTTTCAAAGCAAGGGGGTGGCAAGCTCATTCTTGAATGCTGTATGAAAGACTGACGGAAGTGGGACATGGAAAATGGCAGAACAATTAAGAAAGCTGGGTGTGGTAGTCCACGCCTGTAATCTCAGTACCAAGGAGGTGAGGCGGGGGAATAAGGAGTTTGAGGCCGTTCATTCATGAAAAAGCTATGAGTTGCACGCCTGGGATACAAGGAACCCTCAAAAAACCAAAAAAGTCTGATGTAATCTAACTAAAGAAATGTAAGTGTTAGGCAATTAACTGAAGCATCCCATTCAGAATAATCAAGAAGTTATATATATAACAGGCTAGGCACCAACCAAAAATGTTACCAGTAATCAACATGCTCAGATGGCATTCAAAAATATACTAGTGCCTCATGTGAATGATGTCCCACTCATCTACTGAATAGATCCTCCTGGAATCCAATATTCAGATAGCAAGTTCTCTAAACTAGTGCTAAGAACCCTTTAAAGAAATCTGAGTGTGCAGACACCTGAGCTTGTGTATAATTAAGACAGGTAACCCAAGCTTGCCTAGAATTCACTATGTTGCCCAGCCTCAAAATCATGGCAATCCTCCTGCCTCAGCTATCTCATAAGTGTGTGTCACCACACCCAACTCTGACAAAAGTAAAAAATGTAGCTGTTCAATGTGTATAACTTTTAAGAGTCCAAATTAAGAAGTCCTGTTCTAAACCAATTTACATGTCTCCTTAGTCCATGCCTTTAATCCCAGCACTTGGGAGGCAGAGGCAGGTGGATCTCTTGAGTTCGAGGTCAGCCTGGACAGGGTCCAAAGCAATATAGAGAAACTCTGTCTCGTGGTGTGGGGTAGGGGGAGTTTTAATGTAAATACAGTATGAAAAACAGCAAGCTAATAGGTACTTTTAACTTACACTAAAATACACAATTTTTTGAGAAATTGGCACACTTATATCATCACTATCTGCCAACCATCTCTTAGTCTGTTCCAATACTCAATTCCCTATGTATTACTTTTTTTTTAAAAAAAAATGACATATTCAAAACCATTTCCCCCATTTTCTTCCATTGAGCTGAACTGAATTTAACCTTTATTTACTTTCTTCAAAAAAAAAAAAAAAAAAAAGAACACCTCTAGGATGAACTATGTAAACCAGCGTGGCCTTGAACTAAGAGCAATTGCTTGTGTCTAGCTGCTGCCTCTTAAGTCCTGGGATTAAAGACATGCACCACCAGGCCAGCTAGAATCTAACTTTTTCTTTTTTTTGGGTGGGGGGGGCAGGGTTCGAGGCAAGGTTTCTCTGTGTAGCCCTGGCTGTCCTGGAACTCACTCTGTAGACCAGGCTGGCCTGGAACTCAAGAGATCCTCCTGCCTCTGCCTTCAGAGTGTTGGAGGTTATTTAAAGCCAGGATTGATATCCTGCTCAAAATAACAAAATGCTACTCCAAATGATTTGTTACCCATCCACCTTATTTATGGATGTTTTTTGTCTCTAGGGGTTTTGTTGGTTGGTTGGTTGGTTTGGTTTTTTGTTTTTAAGATGTAGTCTCGCTCTAGCCCAGGCTGGTCTCCTACTTTAGTCTGTCAAGTACAATTTTAGAAATAAGACAAGATGCCTTGCTTTTTGCATGTGCCTTAGACATTTTGGGGCAAGGTCTCTCACTGAACCTGGAGCTTGCATTTTTAGCTAAACTAGCAGCCAACAAGCCTTTAACTTGAAGATCATCCAGTCTGTGTCAGTCCCTCAGTTGTGTCTCCACTCTGGTCCTTATGGTTGTGGATCAAGTGGTCTTAACCTCTGAGCCATCTCTCCAGCCTAGCTCTAGTTTTCTTTTTTGAGGCATGTCTTGTTATATACACCAGACAAGACATGAATGCAAGATCTGCCTTCCCTCACTAGAGCACTAAAATCATGTCACCATGCCTGGCTTCTTACAGTGTTTTAACATTAAAAACTATTTTAATTTTAAACCCTCTCTGAAATGTTTGCTGGATAGGAAAATGTAAATTTGTATAAAGATATGTTCCCCCCCCCTTCCCAGGTGTCGTCATCTCCCCCTCCCCCTTCCGGGAACTGAGGACCAAACCCAGGGCTTTGAGCTTGCTAGGCAAGCTCTCAACCACTGACCTAAATCCCTAACCCCTATTATTAAGTTTTAAATTATATCAGTAGATACTATGCTGTTAGATATTATTTAGGAGACTTGAATTTAACAAGATTGAGGGTGGGAACATGCAAAGATTTCCAATCTCTTACACAGCCTGAAGGCTGCGCATATTCTCTGTATTCGGATATCTCCAACTATCTTCCACCTGCCTTTTACTTCTTTTCTGTCCACTTAATGAATCCAACTCCCTACCCACCCTCACAAACAGAATACCTGGACCAGCACTATTTCAGTGTTTATCTTAGTTTGGAATTTCTATGCATACATAATGAGACATCCAAGCCTAAACATGAAGTTCATTTACATAATATGAACATGACCTTGTATAAGCAAATATATTCAACTCTTGAATTTTGACTGACATAACTTATACAGTCAAGTATGGGATTTTCCATATCAATGCTCAGTAACAGGCTTTGGAGAAATTCAGATTTCAAAATTTCAGATTAAGAATACTTATCTGTTATTCTGTTCAAAGGTCTTCCCTCTACCACTCAATGTCACATCTTTAACCCCTAGTCTTGCTATTGTTTAAGTTATACATTTACCACTAGCTGGCACTGTGTTTTAGTATGTGTGTCCCTAACTAAGCTACTAGCTCCTGACAGTGGGGACAGTTCCATGGCTGTATTATGTGGTGTCCAGAACACAAGGCTAGAATAAGATCATTACATGAAAGAAACAAACATGAGGGGGTTTAGTTTTAACTAGAATTCCAAGCATTTGTGACACTTCCTTCACACAGTAATTTTTACAATTTTCTCACATTGACTTGCAAAGATATAGGAAATTAATATCTGAATCGAAAGTAGTAGTAATCCAAACTTGTCAACTCATCCATGTGAGGGAATTAAAAGCCCTGCTTTCTGCTAAATTCTCCCAGAATTTCTCCTAGCCTTTATTTCCCTAAACAGCAGATACAAGTGATTTCCCAGACACTTCCTATTCTCAAAAGGATGAAGGTTTCAATCCCTACCAGCAATTCCATTCTAACCCCTTGAAAGCACCAGGCAATGTTATGTTGAGTAACAAGTAGCAGGCATTCCATATACTGCCTGTCAGGCTAATTCAGCTTATCTCTCTGAGGGTCCCTCTGGTTTCGGTCATCATACTCTCTAGCCTTACAGCCAGAAAGGAAGGGATATGTACTTTAACAGTAAGCTTCAGTTTTTTTTTAAAGTAACCAATATAGACACTTTTACATGCTCTGACGCTCTTCAAAATCTAATTCTACTTTAATTATGAAATCTACACAAAGTAGGACTTACTACAGGCCGAAAGAGTTGAAAAGCCACAGCCCAAATTGTCTATGTTTCCCCAGCTTTGAGGAGAAGTAACCCTTTTCCAAACCCAGTAGTTTTCTTAGTTGCCTTTTGTACAAAGGAAAATGTGTAAGATCCCGCACACTCTAAGGCGGGAGCAATTGGGACCTTAAGGTCTCCCGCTAACGTGTCCACTGCGGCTGCTCGAAGGAAAGCAACGGAAGTTGGAGAGACTTTGCAACAGCTGCAAGAGTTTCTGTCCCAGGCAGAGAGCGGCCACGGGGGCGAGGCGACATCCCGCAGCCGACGTGAGCCCGACCCCCGGGACCCCAAGGCCTCGCCGGTTCCCGTGAGGGCCCCACCTGGCCGGGAGCGCGCGGGCACGAGCAGCCGCCGCCCGCCCCGGCTCACCTTTCGTCAGCGTGTCCAGCACCCCCGACTTCTCCAAGTACCTCCGGAACTGCTCGCGCTTCGAGTCGGCGGCCTGAGGAGACACGGCGGGTCAGGGACCGGAGCCCGGGCCGGAGCAGGGAGACGGCGCGCCCCGCCGCCGCCCCCAAGCCCTGCACGCGCCCCAACTCCCACCCGGCGCCGCCCGCACGCCCCGAGCCACGCCGCGCCCCCCTCACTTTGTAATGGGCCATAGTGACAGCCACAGCGGCGTAGCTGGCGCCGGAGACACGGGCTGGCGGGCTCCAAGCCGCACTGCTCATGCGCGGAACGGCATGCGCGTCTGCGCACTGGGCAGGCACGGGCCGAGATAGCCGGGGTGTGGCCTGTTTTCATGGCGACCGGGACGCTGTGTATCCCCGTCTCCGAGGAGCCCAGGGAGACTGCGTGCGCCCGCCCTCCGCGGTTCCGGACAGCCCCGCATCTTCCTCTTCCGGTTGCCGTGGAGATTTGGTTGCCTAGCAAGACGCGAGCTTTAGGTAAATCCTGGCGACCATCCTGGAGCCCCTGTGTGGTGCGGTTTGGAGTCAGCGCCTCTTGACAGAGCTCATCACCACGTGGTAATGGGCACACTCCTTGTCTATTTGAATCTTTGGAAGTGTTGCGGACCGGTCAACGCCGAGGTTCTATGCTCAGAAAAATACCCAGCACGGGGGTTGTGAAGGCAAGAGAACCAGGAAAAGGTTCAAGGTCACCCTCAGCTGCATAAAGAGTTTGAGCCTAGGTTGGGGGGCCCCGTTGTTCAGGGCCTGCATGTAAGCACTAAGCCCAGTGAGGTTTACAGATACAGTTGGCTGGGAGAAAGCTATTCTTGCTTATCTCTACAGCAATGTTGGTTTAGAGCAGTGACTTTTAAAGTCGTGGTCCTGCCTTTATTATTAGTTTTTCCTCCCCCTTCCTCGGGGACTTAACATTAATTTCTTTGCGTGTTTTATTATTTGTGCCAACAGGTTGAAAAGAATTACAGGTAGTAATAAGTATGTATGTCTGTTTAGTTCTTTCTTCCTTCATCCAAAATGCTTGCCCACTTTATCCAGTGAGCGTCAGGAGCTACCCGAAGTGCAGAAAATAAATTTAAATGTGTGTTGCTGGGTTTCTACTGAGAACATTTCTGGGTGCAGCCCATTACTTGGCTAGATTTTGTTCTGACTTCTTTGCAAAGAATTCATTCTATTCCCTGGGCGGTAGTGGCCCACGAATTTAATTCCAGCACTCTGGAGGCAGAGGCAGACTAATCTGAGTTCGATGCCAGCCTGGTCCAAGACAACCAGGGCTACACAAACCCTATCTCAAAAAAACAACAAACAAAAAGTTAATTTAAAAAACAGGATTAATTCTATTTATGCTTCAATGTATATTGTCTTCCAAGTCCCACCATATAGCTGTCTAAAGGAAATCCAGATGGAATTTTATTACTTTTTTGTGGGGATTGAGGGAGGGGGCTTGTGGCACAGTGCAGTTGCAGATCAAAAGATTTGTAGGAGTCTTAAGCTCTCACCTATAATAAACTCGGGGTCCCCATGCTTTGACAGCAAGCTGACTCACCCATGGAGCTATCTCCCCAGGGGCTCCCCTCAACTCATACTTAATTTTAAAGTTAGTGTACTGAAAGAGGACTAGATGTAAGAAAGATGCTATAATATTAAACTGTTTTGTTATTCAAGGTGTAATAAAGCAGTCTGACATGAAAGAGGAAGAAAGAGAAGGAAGGGAGGGTAGATAGATCAGGGCTTGCTTGAGGCCCATTAAAGGGAAGCTACTTCCCCCTGGTCAAAAGAATGGAATCTGACTTTGACCTTTGGCCCTAATTGGAATATAACAGTTTAATCTTTTCAGAAACTGGAATAGTAAATACTATTGTCTCCTCCCTTAAGAGTTAGTCCAACTGGACCTGTCAATCACTTGAGCAAGAGACCACTCCTCAGGAAAGCCAGTGTGCCTGAAGGTGTGCTAAGGAGATGAGAGAAATAATTGTTCCCTTAATGAGATAATCTGTTTAATCATCCCAGGAGCCCCACTCTTGAGACAGTTGCTGACAGACTTCACAGCTAAATCTGCTATCTTTCTAAGTCTTATAAATGTAACTTTTCCTTTTTAAATCTCTTTAGATAACTGAAATTAGATAACTAAAATCCCAAGCTCTGACACTCTGGTTTCTCACTCATCTCTGAAGACCATCCCAGTCCTGCTGCTTGCAGACCTCCATTGCTGATCCTACTCAAAAGACATGATGCTTCGATCTTCCTCCCTCCGTTTTCCTTCTGGTGTCATATAAAAAACATAATATAGCCAGGCATTGGTGTCACACGCCTTTAACCCCAGCACTCGGGAAGCAGAGGCAGATGGATCTCTGAGTTTGAGACCAGCCTGGTCTACAGATGGAGTTCCAGGACAGGCTCCAAAGCTACAGAGAAACACTGTCTTGACAAACAAGCAAAAACAAAACAAAAAAAACTGTGTGTGTGTGTGTGTGTGTGTGTGTATATATATGTATATATATATATATATATATATATATTATATATATTTAGGTTAGGCTTCAATGTTAGGATTAAAGTAGTTGGGAATACCAGGGATGAAAAATAAAAGGCCTTGTAACTGAGTAAGAGACCTGGGACTTGTCTTCGGCAGACTTGGTTTGTCCTCTCCCATGGCCTTGGGCCCAGCTCCCTGCAACAGCTGGTACTGTGCCTCCCCTCCTAAGCCAGTAAGTTCACTCCTGCCTTCCCTATGATGGCTGTAATTCTCCCTACTGCCTGCCCTGCAGCGTTTCTTTCATGTATCTGAACACTACTTGTGGTCCTTTAGGTTGTTTTAGCTCACTGTGTCATCTGAAAGGTCCTTCCACACCACCTCCTGCCTCGTTTGTTTTTATTTTTATTTTATTTTTGGTTTTTCAAGACAGGATTTCTCTGTATTGTTTTGGACCCTGGCCTGGAACTAGCTCTGTAGACCAGATTGGCCTTGAATTCACAGAGATCCACCTGCCTCTGCCTCCCGAGTGCTGGGATTAAAGGCAAGTGCCACCAACAGCTGGCTCTCATTTGTTTTTATTTTTGGTTGGTTTTTCTAGCTGGAACTTGGTCTGAACTTCAGCACATAACTTTCATTGCTGTATTTGGCTGGTATTTTACGAATTTGGGTAGTTGTGTGTTTGCCTCCCTTTAAATCAGTCTTAGTTGTTATTGTCACTGTCTCTGTCTTTCCTTGGGGGGGAAAAATCTACCCATGGTGACTTTGAGGAGCCGCACTCTGTAAGTCTGTTCCCAGCCCCAAGCATCTATCAGAGCCACTCTACAGTACCTCTGTGGTGACAAATGAAAGCAGGCTATTGGAGGCACAGACCTGGCTGTCACCAGCAGAGCCTGTAAGTGTGGAAAGTATCACGGTTCCTCCCATTTCTGCTGGTAAAGATGAGTAAGCTCTCCCCTGCTAACCTGTAGATCTCTAACTGTTGGGTGGGGCAACAGTGAGCATTTGACCACTTGAAAAGCAAAATGAACCCCCAGCGCTGTTTGGAGGGCACACAATAAAACTTGCCTTCCTTGTTTTCAAGTGTGGGAGCCCAGAGCTTGGAAACCCATTTCCACCTCTCTCTCCTGAGGACCAAAGCTTCCCCTCTCAAGTCCTCCCCGTGGGGACCAGAGTTTTCGGAGCTCAGTTCTCTCCCCACTGTTGTGCTCCTACCACACCACTCATTTCCAAAGCGGCCCCAGCCTCTGGCATTCACCCTGCACCATTGCCCTGGTCTGGGAACTAAGGAACTCACTGCAGGGCCCCTGCTTTAACTACCCTGCCTGTGTATGATGTAGTGGGCAGGGATGGGGGAGAGAGCTGTGATTCAGGCCCTACTGAGTCTTCAGTGCCTTTATCTCCTGACAGGAACAGCACCCTCATGTGGAAAGGCACAGGCATAGGTAGATGAGAGGGGAGTTGTGGCAAGCCGAAGGCCAGGACAAGAGACAGAGTTCTCTGGGGAGCTGGAGGATGGGTGGCCAAGCCTGACTAGTCAGAGCTGCCAGAACACAGGCTCTGACTTTGATAACTTCAATAACAGCTGTCAAGTCAGCCTGCAGGAAAGACATTTTGAGTGGCAGCCATTGGCAGCAAGCTGATCCTGTATGAAGAGCAAAAAGTTGAACTGCCCCAAACAGCTTATAGAATTGCTTTTTTCCAGGGAGATTTTTTTGTTTTGTTTTGTTTTTTTTGTTTTAAGCTTCCTGCATTAGCCAGCATCATCTGCTCTGTCAGGTAAAGCAGAGAAACAGCATTTGAACTTCATTTTGGATGTTTTTGGAAGCTTGACCCTTACCACATCTTTCCCCAGTTAGACTCTGGCTTTCCATTAGGTTGGAGCTCTTTTGTGCATTTTGGGTTCTTTTTAACCATTTTTGGTGACTGCCACTTAGTGATTGGCTATCTTTCCTCATTCATCTGAGCTGCTTTAGTTTTATAGAGCTATGTTTGGGCTAGTGTGCCATTTGTGTAATGGGCCTTAAAGCATTTGGGTGTCTGGTGTGAGACAGGCAGCTTGGAGAGGTCTGCTTGGAGCTCTGTGCTTCTCAGAATCATCATGTGAGATCATGGGCATGTCTCTTAGAGACACTAGGCATTTTGCCTAAGTGTAAGTGGATGAACCAAATGCACACCTGGTCCCAATGAGGATGTCAGATCCCCTGGAATTGGAATTAAGGACAGTGGTAAGCTACCATGAGGGTGCTGGGATTTGAACCCAAGTCCTCTTCAAGAACAAGTGCTCTTAACCACTGAGTCATCTCTCCAACCCAAGGAATAACTCTTATCTTATTCTCTTCCCCTACCTCTTATGGCCTTGTCTGCTGCATCTTTGATCCTATAGGTCCTTAGTGTGAATGACTACCTCAAACAGGATTTAAGGATGGTATCTTTACCTGGAGATATTTACTACTTGGGGCTTATCTTGTGGGTTTGCTTATCTTGAAGGTTTGCTCTACCTGTTATGACCTCTTTCTGATAATAAGACTTCTCCATTAGTCCAGTAAGAAGGGGCAATACCTTCATAGTCAAGTCTTTTCATATTGCAGTGAAAGGCACATGTTCAACCCTGAAAAAGCCACTACATCAGCACCTTCATTGATCCCTAAGCTAACTGCGCCCCTGAAATGTTAGACAGCAGTTAGCTAGATGAAGGAAGTAAGTGTAAGGCTTGTGAGTGTGACCATTCCTTTTTTTTTTTTTTTAATTTATTATAAATAAAGCATGGTCATACCCAGGGAGCATACATAGAGCATGCAGACTCCTCATGATGTGCTCAAAAGTGACTGTCTTACTTAAGGTTTCTGTTGCTGTGAAGAGACACCATGACCATGGCAACTCTTATGAAAGAAAAATATTCAATTGGGGTGGCTTACATTTTCAGAGATTTAGTCCATTTTCATCATAGTACAACATGGTGATATGCAGGTAGACATGGTGCTGGAACTGATATCCAGGCAACAGGAAGTGGTCTGTAACAGTGTGCAGGATCTTGAGCATAGAAGACCTCAAGGCCCACCCCCACACACAGAGACACAGTTCCTCCAACAAGACCACAGACCTACTTCAACAAGGACACACCTTCTAATAGTGCCACTCCTTTTGGGGCCATTTTCTTTCAAGCCACCACATTCCTCTTCCTGGCCCCCAAAGACTTGTAACTATATCATAATGCAAAACTGTATTCAGTCCAACTCCAAAAGTCTCCATAGCCTAAAACAATTTCAAACTTACTTAAAGTCTAAAGTTCAAAGTCTCTTCTGAGATTCATGTAGTCTCTTAACTGTAATCCCCTATAAAATCAAAATAAAAAAGCATAGAACATACATTACCATTCCAAAACAAGCAAAAAGAACATAGTGAGGAAATACTAAACCAAAGCAAGACTGAAAACCAGCTGAGCAAACTCCAAACTCTTTATCTCCATATCTGATGTCAAAACACTATCCAGATCTCCAACTCCATTCAGCTTTTTTGACTGTAACACACTTCTTTCTCTTGGGCTGGTTCCACTCTCCATTAGCAGCTTTCCTCAGCAGGTAGCCCATGGCTTTGGCTTCTCATAGTCTTGGAGGTCTCCAAGGCAATCCAGGGTTTTAAATCACAGCTTCACACAATGGCCTCTCTAGGCCTCCATTCAGGGATACCTCTGACACATGCCTGGCCTCAGCAGCTTTCCTTAGTCACAAGGGCAAATTCTATTGCCCCTTTCTTGTGGAATAATCTTTTTGTACACTGTAAAGCTGTGCCTATGCTCTAAGGTGCCTTCTGATTGGTTTAATAAAGTGTTGAATGGCCAGTAGCTAGGCAGGAAAGGTTAGGTGGACCTTAGAATGTAGGCATGCAGGAAGTCAGAAGTACAGAATGGAGGAGAGGTTAAAAGCCTCGTGGTAGAGTGTAATTAATAGAAACAGGTTACGTTAGAAAAGCTAGTATGACAAGCCTAAGCTAAGGCCAAGCTTTCATAATAAGTCTCTGTGTCATTATTTGGGAGCTAGTAGTGCAAAGAAAGTCCAACAATGCTTTCTTCTATCCTTAATTCTAGAACCAAGTGGCCAAAGCTGCCAATTTTTGCTGTTTACTGGGACTGGAATGTGACCCCCTTGTTCAATTACATCTTCACCAACTTTCTGTTTTCAATGGTTTCCTTCACTGTCTAAGCTTGGCTGTTCTGGAACTTGCTCTGTAGACCAGGCAGGCCTCTAACTCAGAGATCTACCAGTCTTTGCCTTCTATGTGCTGGGATTAAATATATGTATCACCACGCCTGGCCCTAAGCTTTTTCTTTAATTCCTTTTCACAAGTTGGAAATCTAGTTGGATGGGATGGTCACCACTCCCTTTTTTCCATTTCTTTAAAATATTTATTTATTTGTGTATTTTATGTATGTGAGTCCTCTGTCTTCATGCACATCAGAAGAAGGAATCTGATCCCACTATAGATGGTTGTGAGCCACCATGTGGTTGCTGGGAATTGAACTCAGGACCTCTGAAAGAGCAGTCAAGTGCTCCTAACGACTAAGCCACCTCTCCAGCCCCACCCCCACCCCTATCCATTTCATAATCATTTATCTCTTTGGACACAGGGCTTAGCTCCATTCCACTTCCTGGTGCTTCTTTTCTCCTCAAATGCTTTCCTTGCTCAGCTTGCTCCCTTTCATTATAATCTTCATTAGAGTTAACACACAACAGGGTCTGTTCTTGGCAGTTTTAAGATTCCCTCTGCCAAGAGCATTCATCCAAAACTCTCCACTTTAGTCTTAGGCAAAATTTTTGGGCAAGAGCAAAGAGCAGCCATATTCATCACCAAAATATCACAAGAATGATTTCTAGGCAACATACTAAAGTTCTTCGCCTCTGAAACTTCGTGAGCCAGCCCCCCACAGGTACTCACTGGTAACACCACCATCTTCCATGCCCCTACTGATAAGGTCCATTAAGCAGTGCTTACAGCACTCCACTTCTTTACTAACCTAAACCCCCAAAGTCCAAATTCCTCCAAACAAAAGCATGGTCAGGCTTTTCACAGCAAAACCCCAGTCCCTGCAGCCAACTTCTGTCTTAGGGTTTCTGTTGCTGGGAAGAGACATCGTTAAAGGAAAAACATTTAATTGGGGTCGATTGTGTTTTTGGAGGTTTAGTAATGATCATCATGGTGGGACCTGGTAGCATGCAGGCAGACATGGTGCTGGAACTGAGCCTCTGTAGGTGAGCAGTCTTTAGGCCATAATCGAGAGGAGAAAGGACATTTTCTGCATACACTATCAGTATCCATGCATAGACCAGCAAAAGCCTTTGCCATCCCACTGAGCCTTATGGTGGAGGATGGGATGTGCCAATTTTCCCATGGGTCTTGGTATAGTCATGCACACATTCTCAGGACCTCGCTCACTTGAGACTTGAGGGTTAAGAGAGAGACACTTAGAAGTGTAGAGAGCAGAAGAAGCCCATATTAAATATTCTTTTAGTGGGGGTCTGGAAAGATGGCTCAGAGGTTAAGAGTATACTTATTGCTCTTGCAGAGGACCCAGCTTTGTTTCCCAGCACCCACATGGAAACTCACAACCAGCTGTAACTCCAGCTCCAGGGGATCCAAGGTCTTCTGACCTCCTCAAGAACCAGGTATGTATATGGTGCACATACAAATGTGCAGGTAAAACACCTGTCCACATAAAATACATAAATCTTTAAAAAATATACATACATACATGTTCTTCAAAGCTTTCAAGCTCTGCCTCACAGTGCTGGCTAATCCTGAAATTCAGCACCAATCTACAAGTCTCTAGGTCCCTAAAACCTAGGGCACTGGTTTTCAACCTATGGGTCACAACTCCTTTGGTAAACCTCTATCTCCAAAAATATTCACATTACAACTCATAACAGTAGCAAAATTACAGTTGTGAAGTACCAATGAAGATGGTTTTATGGTTGGAATTGTATTAAAGAGTCACAGCATTAGGAAAGTTGAGAACCACTGGTCTAGGGGAGTCCCTAGATGGTGACAGGTGGAGTTGTGGGCCCTTGAAAAGGAATTTTTTCCTTTATCTTTACTTTGCTGTGTCTTTTAGTTTGCTGAGGACAGGTAGTTAAGACTGGCTTATTGGGGGTGCCAGGAACCAGGCAGGCTCTTTCCCAGTGTCTATGTAAATGCAAAAAGTCAAAATTACCAGTCAGGTACCTGGCATGTAGTTTAGTGGGAAGAGTGTGGGCATACCATGCAAGAAACCCAGGGTTCCATCCCCAGAATCAGAGAAAGTGGACAAGGTGGCACACCTCAGGGTCTTAGCACTTGGTAGGTGAGAGCAGGAGGATCAGGAGGCCAAAATCATCCACAGTTACATAGACACATGTCCCATTCAAGGCCAGGTTAGGCTTCATAGGGCCCTGTCTTAAAAAAAGAATTGACTGAGGGATAAAAAATAAACAACAGAAAAGAAAATGTTTAAAGAGAATTAACAGGAAAAAAATACCCTTTAAACACTAAGGAACTGATACTAGAAAACAAATTGGTACACTCATACTGTCAAACAAATGATTCATTAAAATGAACTCCAAAAAAAAATCTAAATTTCAGGCCTGGGATACAAGCAGATTTCATCAGAAAACCTCTGGTCAGGTATTAGGTCCATACAGAAAACTATACCATCATGTCTCCATGCCCAGGTTTTGCTATGGAATCAGCATATCCAATCTATTACCCCTAAAAACACAAAATAAGATATTGTGTTAGCAGCTGACCTGAACAAGGGGAAGCTCGTGAACCCCAGTCTGATAGCTAGGAGACCAGCATAGATCTGACCCAGACCCCCCTGAATGTGGGTATTAGGAAGACTGGGCAGTCTTTGGTTATCCCTATTATACGAATGAACTTTGGGAGCCCATTCCACATAGAGAGATACTCTCTCAGCCTAGACACCTGGGGGAGGGCCTAGGCCCTGCTCCAAATAACATGACAGACTTTGAAGATTCCCCCATGGAAGGCTTCACCTTCCCTGGGGAGTAGAAAGGGGATGGGCTGGGGGGGCACAGGGGAGGAGGGGTGGGTGAAGTAATTGGGATTGACATGTAAAACAAGCTTATTTCAAATTTAAATAAAAATGTTATCATAAAAAAGATAATGTGTTAGTATAAATATGACTAAGGAGGACTGGAAAAACTGCTCTGCCAGAGGACCCATGTTGGTTTCCCAGCACCCACATGGCACTCACTACAGTCTATAACAACAGTTCAGGAAATCCAAAGACCTCTTCTAGCCTCCATGAGACTCAGGAATACACATGGTACTGACTTACATGTATGCAAAACATACACACATATATAAATTGTGTATCTGTGCATGTACATGTAACATATAGACCTATATCCAACTAATATTAAAAATAGCCCATCAATGATGCACACAAAAAATATGCAGGTGGAACTCAGTCCACTTCAAAGGGAGCCATGGAAAATGACTAACAGGGGTCAACCCCCATCCCCACCCCAGGGGAAGCAGCTTCCGAGAGACTCCCCAAAGCAAAGTGAGGAGGGGCTGGCAGGGCAAGACACTTATGAATCCACCTACTTGAGTTGTTTAGAAGAATCATCTGATGGCCATGCCCTGGCATTCTAAAATTTCCTTCACCGTGTCCACATACCTTCCTTCCTGTGCCCCTTCCTGTAAGTGGCTGGCCTGCCACTGTCACAGCATTTCATCCACCCCCTGCATGAGCTGCCTGCATCATCACAGCTGTTAGGAGTCCTGGTTCACATGATCAGTGGTTGTGGGTAGATGCAACTGACCCATGGCCACCTCTGCCTAAGACATACTTCTTGCCCAACTGTATATGGGCAATGGTCTCAGTTTTTTTTTTTTTTTTAAACCCCAGTGGGTTTGTGAAGTGCCATATCACCTCAGGCTATAAGCCAGGACAGGGTGGTTCTTCAGCTTGAGGTGGCCCAGGACACCACCCAGTACAGCATCCCTGGTGTGTCCATCCACACCTGATTGGCATCAAGGCACTGGCCTCCTCCAAAAGCAGTAGTAACCAAGCCTCAGCAGCCAGAGCCCTTGGTCTGGGAACTCACCAGCACCTCATTGGCATTCCCATTTCCAAAGGCCTCAGAGTGGCCCAGCATGTCTGACTCTCTAGTCTGCTCATGGAGATACCAATGGACAACTTTGAGCAACTGAGAATTTTCCCTCTTCAGGGCTCTGCCCTGTCTTGACTATGCTGCAGCCTTTGCTGTACAATCCATCACAGTCCACAGCCAGGAATTTAAGAGAGGGTCCAGAAGGAATGAGGAAAGCAAGGAAAAGAGGGGCCAGCTACGATGAGAACCAAAGACCTGAAACAAAACAATGGCTTTCAGTAGGACCTGAGAACCAAACTCATCCTGGTCCCTCACAAGAAATCAGAACAATGACTCTGAAGGGACCCAAGGGGCCCATGTCTTGTAGAGACAGAGGGTCAAAGTTGGTCATCCCTAACAGCATCCTTCCACAGGAACAGGATCTTAAGATGTTGGCAAGTGTCTCAAGGTTCATCATTGGAGCAGGCATTCTTTCCCTCAGAGGATCTCCAGACACTGGACCAAAGGACCAATCCAGGACTGGGGTCACAGCTTCCAAAAAGGTCTTCCAGAAAAGCCCTCCAAAGATGGGGCAACTTCAAGAGATGTGATGCTGGGCCGTGGGTACCAGTAACAGGACTCAAGAGCAACTCAAGCTGAGGGACACCCCCTCCCCTCAGGAGGACCTCCTAGGGCAACTTTGGTGAGGGTGTCCCACTCTACAAAGGATCTTCTAGCCTGGGGCCTATGGTTATAGGCAAAGGTGCCCACCACCAGGTCCTGGAGGACAAACTTCCAGAAAGACCACCTTTTTGAAGGGAATTCAGGAGTGGGCTGACCTCACCTGAGGCCAGTGGTTACAGACAAAGACCAGGACAGGGGAAGACTCACCAGCATGATGTCCCAGAAATCCCTAGAGGGATGATGGACATAATCTCAGGAGGGCCAGCCAGGAGAGACAGGAGGGATAAAAGGAGGCTGCCCTGTAGGAGCTGTCTGGGAGACCTCTGGATTTCAGCAGACTATTGCCCTGGCCAGACACCACAGCCTCGGGACCTTAATGAAGACCTTTAATGTTCTTAAGGCACAAAAATATAATCTGTAGGCAGATTATAACTCAATCTGCCTACAGGAAAGCTTGGCTTCCTCAGGTCACCGTGGAATTCTGAACAGGTCTTGCTAGGAGATTTTTCACGATTAGCCAGTGTGACTGGGTCACCCCAGATTGTGGGATCCCACCACTCCATCCTTATCCTTCTTTTCTCCTTTTTTGGCTGTTTTCTTGTGGCTTCCTTATTGTCATCTTGAGTAAGTATGTTTCCTCTGTGTACTCTCGGACCTGACCTCACATGATGGTCTTTGGTTGACAGCTCCAAGACCTGGGTATTTTTCTTGTCCAGCAGGCCTGTTTCTTCCCCAGGCACCAGGCCCAGCTCCCTCATTTTTCTCTGGAGGAATGCCTTTTCTCTTGAGAACTGGTACTGAGCCTCCCTCTCCTTAGCTCTCCTCTCCTTTGCTTTCTCCTTCTTTGACATCTGTACTACTTCCTCCTGGATCCCCTCCAAACTATATGTGCACGATACTTCCTGCACTGGTGGCCTTGATTTCAGGTGGATCTTTTTTCCCTCCAGGACATGTCCTTCAAAATCATCAGTAAGTGTGGGGTATTGGGACACCATTTGTTGGCCTCTCCTTGCTGATACAATGCCATATCTCATGATTATGTCCTTCCACGAGTCCTTATGGCTCTGACCTTGTGGGATTTGAGGTTTTTCTCCTAGATTATTCGCCTGATGAGGGCAGGCCAGTGTCCTGCCTTTTCCCTGGGTCTCTATCGGTGCTGTTGCCTCAAGATTTTTCTCTGTCCATGCCTCCTTTGGATTTGTAAGGGAGCCTCTTCTAGTCCCTAACTCTAGTTTAGAAAAGCCACTTTGTAACATCCCTGAGATGGATGATGAGGAAGAAGCCGCAGGGGCAGGGTCCCAGCACTCAGCAGCAGAGCTTGTGTGTAGGGGGTGATGCTCTCCTCTCTTTGGTCTCTGGAAAAGGGGAAGTGACTGTGTGTGGCCAGTCCACAGAGTACCCAAACTAATACTCTTGAATTGAGAGCTCCAGGTTTTTTTTACTTCCTGAGCTGCAGGATGTGCCCTAGAGCTTGGCCAGTACGCAGGACTGCTCAGTCTTTGGGTGCTCTCCGTGGCATTCAGTCTTCTGTGTGAGACAAGCTCTTGGCCATTCATTTTCCCTCTCACACTCCTGGGGTCTAGGGCTTTGTCACTGATTGATCCCACACTCACTCTCTACAAGATATCCCTGGTACAATCTGTCTACAAGATAAATACACTGCGAAGTTCACCAGCCTCTGCCATCAACACTTACTGTTGCCTTGGGTTTGGAGAAAATGAACTCTGGAGAGTCACAACTTTAGCTACCCTTACCTGTCTGTGATGCAGTGGGCGGGGCTAGAGGAAAGATGGCTGTGACCTGGGCTGACCTCCATATGCAGGGAAGCCTTGGGTCCTGTGTCTGTTGGTGTTAGGGACTTCAGTGTCTAGGAAGATAAGGGATATGGATGGCACAGGGGTGGTATGGCCAGTGAGAAGTGAGCTCTGGAAGTGATCATTGGGGGAGAAGCGGGGAGTTCTCTGATTGTTAGGGTTACCAGCATAGACGCTTTGACTCAAAGACCTCTACTGGAAGGACCAGATGACTCTGAGTATAAAAGGGCTTGTCATACAAGCCTGAAAACCTAACTTAGGTCTCAAGAACTCTAAGAGGTAGGCGAAAACAAACCCCTGAAAGTTGTCCTTTGACCTTCGCATGTATGTTGTGAACTCTATGCTCGTGTTCTCATTCTCTCTCTCTCTTTTTCTCTCTCCTCCGTTTTTTTGTTTGGTTTTTTTGTTTGTTTTTTGAGACAGGTTTTCTCTATAGCTTTGGAGCCTGTCCTGGAGCTCACTCTGTAGACCACTCTGGCCTCCAACTCACAGAGATCCTCCTGCCTCTGCCTCCCAACTCCTGGCATTAAAGGCATGTGTCACCCGCTGGCACTCCTGTATTCTCACATTCACCCCACAATATTAATAATGGTAAGATAAATAAGACAAAATAACACTGATAACAACTGTATGGAAGTAAGCCTGGAAAAAGGGACACATTTGGGTATCAGCTATTCCGAGCATGCTGACTCCAAAGGGACAGGAAAAGCTTGAAGGACTCCTGGCAGCTACCAAAATCATGTCATTGGCAGGACGTTCTTCTCATAGGGTTCTGCTTGGGCCAGCACCATCTGTTTTCCTTTCTCTGGTGAAGCAGAGCAGGGGAGAGCATTTAAATCTGTTTTAGAATCAAGAACATGTCCCCACTTTCTCTCTAGTGTGTACCTCATTTCCTCTGGGTTCCTTTTGAGCTGTTCTGGTGCTGATTGACAGTCAGCATCATCTCTCAGAGTGCTCTGAGGCATTCAGTTCTGTAGAACTAACTTTGAGTGACAGGCTCTAAGCTATCTGGGTGTCTTCTGTGACAGGAATGCCTTCCAGGTTCAGCTCAGTCATTGGGGGTTAAAGCAGCTGAGACAAAATAACAAGGGTGTCAAGTAGATCTCTGGTGTAATTAATGTAACCATCAAAATATGGACTCTTAGTGTTGGGAACCAGCAGCCTACTGACCCTGCCCTGGACGATGGGCGGGATGCTCAGGTCCATGTCTCCTCTGCGTCATGACTTACCTGGCTGCTCAAGCTTTACCTGGCTGCCAGGAGACTCAGTTACACATGCACAAGTTTACCTGCACCAAGCGTGCCTCTCTCTTGCCTTTTCTCTCTTGCTCTTTCTCTCTCTTGCTCTTTCTCTCTCTCTCTCGCTCTCTCCTCTCTCTCCCCTCCTTTTGGTTGCCCACCAGCTACCTCCCTTTTTCTCCCCTCAATAAACTCCACATGGGCGCTGAGTCTCTTGTTTGTGTTTTATAGGCAATAGTTGTATCAAAAGAACAACACTTAGGTGGTGGCACACACCTTTGTTCCCAGCACTTGTGAGTCTGAGACTGATGAATCTCTGTGAGTTCAAAGCCACCTGGTCTATAGAGCTAGTTCCAGGACAGCCAAGGCTACTTAGACTAGGGCTTAGATATTAAGACTGTTCTATCTAAAATGGCAACTAGTTGAAATGTTAACCTAGAGCTAGTTTCCTCCTGAAGTTGATGAGCCTGACATTCAAATGTATGTTTAGAAACAAAGCTGACAAGACCAACCCTTTTATAGGATTGCCAAGAAAGATAACCTAAAACTTGATGGTGAAATTGTTCATAATATGCTTTTGTCAAATTCTCAAAAACCCTGTATACTGTCAAAATGTCTATTCAAATTTAATTCTAGGACTACTCTGTATGGAGATGAGGCCGGCAAGCCAGCACTGTTACATCAGGACTGATGGAGGCAGCATGGAAATGAAGAGACCAGCCTGTACAGAGCAGATGTGCAGGCCATTTCATCAGAACAGTGAAAGGGCAGTGGTCTCTCCATAGAGTGGGTACGCGCACCTTGGTACAATCAGATCAAGAGTCTTAGGGAACAGAAAAGGGAGCTTTGGGGATGGAAGATTCCATGTACAGGTCTGATGTCTGGTTCCCTTCGTCTCAAAGTAATAAATACTAAAGGAGGTTAGTATATTGGTCTTTTGTCAGAAGCTTCCTGAATCCTAACAGCCCATGTCTTTCCTGTCCAGAGTTTCTCAGCCTACCTGAGGTTTTGGGCTACTTAACCCTTTGAACATAATTATTTTAGCAACCTGGGACTGCAGATTTCATCCCTCTCAAAAAAAAAAAAAAAAAAAAAAAAAAAAAGTGCCTATCAACCTGTTAGCAATACAGGAACAAAGACCAACACTAACTGTGCTTAGAACTCCACTAAACTGAGCAATTGATTTCTCCTCCTAGTATCTTCTAGACAACTGGGAACTTTGCAAAATGAGCTGATCCAGGCTAGACTGGTTTCAGGAGAATGCACAATAAGACAAATTGTGTCCTCTAAGTAAATGATTTTGGAGAGTCCCTTGTTCATGATGATATTCCTATGCATAATTTTCATGCATATGTCTTTTTATCTTAATCTTTCAACCAAAATAAAACCTGCTACAATGTCCCTTTAGCAACTGTACATTAGTCAGTGTTCTCTAGAGTCACAGAATTTATGCAATGAATCTCCGCTCCCTCTTTCTCTCTCTCTCTCTCTCTCTCTCTCTCTCTCTCTCTCTCTCTCTGGGGGGGGGAGGCGGGGGCGTTTATTGGAATGTTTTACAGGCTACAGTCCAACAAGGCCAGCTGTGAATGGAGAGTCCAAGAATCTAGTAGCTGCTCAGTCCTACAAGGCTGGGTGTCTCAGCTGGTCTCCTGATCCACTGGAATCCTGAGGAAGTAGGCTCCAATGCCAGAAGGAATGGATGTGCTGGCAGGTGAGGGCAAGCAGGCAAAGAATGGACAAACCCTTCCTTCTTCCACTTTCCTTCCAGCAGAAGGTGTGGCCCAGATTAAAGGCGTGCCTTGCTGTCTCAAAGCCCAGATCAAAGGCATGTGTCTTCCTGTCTCAAGATCCTGATCAAAGGCATGTATGTGTCTTCTTGCCTCAAGATGCATATCACAAGTGTGTCCTCCATGTCTAGATTATAGTTCATTCCAGACATAAGGAAGTTGACAACCAGGGATAGCCAACACAGAAACCAGACTTCCTGGAACCCCATAAAGGAAGCCACAAACAAAAACAATAATCTGAGTTTTTTGAGCACTTCACTCATTCAATTCATGCAGTCGAGACTTTTTTCCGAATATTATTTTTTTTCTGTATGCGCACACGTGGACACACAGAGGCCAGAGTGTCATGTCCCGTGGAACCACGGGCCGAGGAGGGTGTGGGGAGCCCCTGGCGCTGCAGTTCCAGGCATTGAAGGCCACCTGGCATGGGCACTGGGAACTAAACTCAGGTTCTCTGGGAGAACAGCAAGTACTCTTAACTCGGAGCCATCTCTCCAGCCCCCCCCATATTATTCTTGACAGTGTGTTCCTTTCTAATCAGTACTGCCATTTGCATGTACTTATTCCATGTACTTATTCCAGTGCTTTGAGGAAAACACGGGAAAACTGGAGATCACCCGGGGGGGGGGCCCGGGGCGGGCGGGCCCGCGCGCCGGGGCCCGGCCCGCCGCGGCCCGCCCACCCGAGCTAGGCCCTGCCCACCCGAGCTAGGCCCTGCCCACCCGAGCTAGGCCCTGCCCACCCGAGCTAGGCCCTGCCCACCCGAGCTAGGCCCTGCCCACCCGAGCTAGGCCCTGCCCACCCGAGCTAGGCCCTGCCCACCCGAGCTAGGCCCTGCCCACCCGAGCTAGGCCCTGCCCACCCGAGCTAGGCCCTGCCCACCCGAGCTCCCCCCTGCCCAGGGCCCCGCCCACCCGAGGCCGCCCTGCCCACCCGAGCTAGGCCCTGCCCACCCGAGCTAGGCCCTGCCCACCCGAGCTAGGCCCTGGAAAGTGTAACTTTCTTTTCTCTTTTTTTTTCTTTTCTTTTTATCTTTTTTTTTTTTCCTTTGCCAAACAAGTCTTCATGTGAGAAAATACATTTTTCTATCTTACTGCTAAAAATTTCCCTCAGTGATTTCTGGTTATTTTTCATTCCGACGCCTGTGACTGACAGCTAGCCAACTAGCCCATTTGGTTGGAGAGCTCTCAGGGTGCAGCCTCGCCCTTCCCTAGCCTGGCCCATGAATAGCAGAGGCTACACAAGTAAAACCAGACACCAGGAGCCAACTCCATGGGAAAAGCAGGTGGCTGCAGCTGTACTGTCTCTACTGGCTGCTTCTGTGACAAAGGTGACAATGAATAAGAAGCAACAGATGCCCCTCCTCAGCCTGCAATCTAAATTATCCCCATCTTCTCTCAAAAATAGTTTTATAACATCTATTTATGCATGTCTGTAAATATGTGTGGTCAGAGAAAAACTTCCAAGAATCAGTTTTCTTCTTCTATCATATGGGACCTGGGAATTGAACTTAGGTCTGTAGATTTACCTGCTGAGCCATCCCGTCAACCCAGTCCCTACCTTCTTTTGATAGTGTTACTGCTGTCTGGACCAGAACCAAACTCTGAGGCCACATGGGATTTTAATACGTTCTTTTAAATTTAAAAATAAAATGCTGGCGGCGGTGGCACCCCTAGTCCCAGCACTCAGAAAGCAGAACCAGTCTGGTCTACATAGTGAATTCCAAGCCAGCCAGGGCTTCACCGTGAGACTATGGCAGCTTAAACAAAAAGCCCCCCCCCTTAAGCTCATATATTTGAATTCATAACCATCAAGGAGTAGCACTACATGAGAAGGACTAGGAGAGGTGACCTTGTTGCAGTAGGTGTGGCCTTATTGCCTGAAGGAAGTGTGTCACTGGAGATGGGCTTTGAGGTTTCAAAAGCTCAAGCCAGACCCAGTGTCTCTCCCTTCCTGCTGCCTAAGGATCCAGATGTAGAACTCTCAGCTACTTCTCCAGCACTTTGTCAGCCTGAGTGCTGCCCTGCTACCCACCATGATAACAATGGACTAAACCCCTGAAGCAGTAAGCAAGCCCAATTAAATATTTTCCATTATAAGAGTTGCACTTGTCATGGTGTTATTTCACAGCAACCAAACACTATGATAGAGACCCTATCTCAAACAAACAAAACTTTTGTCTACCATGAATTAGAGGGTATGGACCAGACAATTGAAAGCCATTAGGGCTTCCTCAGCTAAAATGCTTACAGGATAATTCTAACTGTTGAACTGGGAGAATTAGATGCTTCCTGGAATAAGACAAACCTACACATCTGTCAGCTCAATGTTTATACAACCAATATGAAGTATTAATGCCTTTTGTCCTGATGCTTAACCTCATGTGACCTGTTTATCTCATTACTAAACTTAAAGGACCTCATCTTTCCTAACTACTATATTTATAGTTTCAAGAATACAGAAACCTGTTCTTTCTGTAATATAAACTAATGAGTCCACCTCTTCGTTAGATCAAACTAATGTAACATATTATGGATTGTCTCTGCCCGATTTTCTACACAGATCCTGCAGAGGAAGACACTAGTAAGTCATTTCTGGACTGGACAGTGGTGGTACATGCCTTCAATCCCAGCATTCAGGAGGCAGAGGCAGAGATAGAGGCAGAGGCAAGTGGATCCCTGTGAGTTCATGACCAGCCTGTTCTACAAATCGAGTTCAGGACAGGCTTCAAAGCTACACAGAGAAACCCTATCTCAAAAAATAAATAAATAAATAAATAAATAAATAAATAAATAAATAAATAAAAGAAGAAAAGAAAAAAGAAAGAAAGAAAGAGAAACGAACAGTGCATACTATTGTCTCTTCAAGAGTTAACACAGGGCTGGAGAGATGGCTCCAAGGCTAACACTGATTCTTCTTCCAAAGGACCTGGGTTGGATTCCTAGCACCACATAGTGATTCACAGCCAACTCCAGTCCCAGGGATTCCATCACCCTCTTCTGGACTCTTTGGGTAGCATGCACAAGGTACAGGCAAAATACCCATACACATAAGATAAAAATAGATAAATATTTTTTAAAAAGGAATTAACAGGAGAATAAAAAACAGTGTGGTGGTGTGAATGAAAATGTCCCCCATAGGCTCATGTATTTGAATACTTAGTCACCAGTTGATGGACTATTTGTAAAGAACTAGGAGGTGTAGCCGTTGAAGAGGTGTGGCCTTATTGGAGGAAGTTTGGCACTAGGAGTGGGCTTAGAGGTTCCATAAGCACCAGAACCAGGGTTTCTCTCTGCCTGCTGAGTGTGGATCAGGATGTAACTCTCAGCTCCTTCTCCAGGACCATCCCCTCCTGCCGGCTGCCATGCTCCCCACCCCATGTTGACAATGGACTAACCCTCTGAAACAGTAAGCAAGAGTTGCCTTTATTACGGTATCTCTTCACAGCAACAGGACACTGACAAGGACAAACAGAGTCAACAGACTGGACACAGTGGTGCGCACCTTTAGTCTCAACTTAAGAGACAGAGTCAGGTGAGTTTGGCTCTATACAGGGAGTTCCAGATCAGCCAAGGCATCACAGAGACTCCATCTTAAAAATATCTTAAAATAGTAAGGAATGGAAACTAGGGGGACATCAAACAAAATGATTGATTTAAAAAAAATAAACAAAAGACACCCTGAACATGGTAGCACACACCTTTGATCCCAGCACTCCAGAGGCAGAGATAAGTGAATCTCTGTGAGTTCAAAGGCAGCCTAATCTATGTAGAGAGAACCTCACTCAAATAAATAAACTAAAAAAGTGATTTTTGCATTTATCTGTGATGGTTAGCTTTTATTGCCAACTTGGCACCAATCTAGACTCACATGGGGAAGAGTCTTGGTGAAGGATTATATCGATTGGATTGGCCTGTGAGCATGTCTGTGGGGGAAAATTGCCTTAACTGAGGTGGAAAATTCCAGTCCATGTGGGCAGCCCAATGCCCTACACAGAGGGTCCTGAAGTTTGTAGAAAAGTGCAGAAATACAGCTGACCACAAGTGAGCAAGCATGTGGTGATAATGTTTTTGTGATTTATTAAAGCTTGCCTAAAGATTCAGAAAGCAAAGTCAGCCACAAGCCATAGAAGCCAAGCACATGCCTTTAATCCCAGGACTCAGGATTAAGAGGTAGACAGATCTTTGTTAGTACAAAGCCACACTGAGATACACAAATTGATCCAGTTCTAAAGAGAAACAGCTCACACAAAGATGATCTCAGCA